AGTTCTCAGGGCCATTCTCCTCCACCCGCTGTGTCGGAGGTTGGATGGTGGACCAAGCTTGTTTTGTTAATAAAAACCTAGTCGATGCGCATCGGATAATGGCTCTGTGGTGGTTTCGCTTGGGGGTCTTGCGACCTGGGCACACCAGCAATTGTGGCAAACACCTCTAATTCAGCACTTGGGATCACCCACCTTTAATCCCAGCACTAGGAAGGTTGAGACAGGAAGTGATATGGCTGGGCGGAGAAAGGACTATGAGGCAGGAGGAGACAGGAATTCTCGTCTGTCAGGCTGATGAGTCGGTGAGGTAAGAGGTGGTGGCTGTGGCTAGGTCTGCTTTCTGATCTTTCGGCTTCCACCCTGATATCTGGCTCTGGGTTTTATTATAAGACCATTTAGGATTGGTGTAACAACTAAGTCTCTCTACCTAGCCCTAGCTGGCATGGAACTTGGTATGTAGGTCAGGCCGCCCTAGAACTCAGAGATCTTCCTGGCTCTGCCTCCTGAGTGCTGGTATTAAAGGCATGTGCCACCTGCCTGGCTTCTAGAACTTTCCCATGAAACAACTTCCTGTTCCCTTTCCTTTAGTGCCAGTGGGTCTCAACCTTCCTAATGCTGCGACCCTTTAATACAGTTTCTCATGTTATGGTGACCCACAACCATAAAATTATTTTGTTGCTACTTCATAACTGTAATTTTGCCACTGTTATGAATCATACTGTACACATCTGATTTGCAAACCCAAAGGGGTCATGACCCACAGGTAGAGAACCACTCCTTTAGCCCTGGCAATCACCATTCAACTTTCTGCTTCAAGGAATTTGGTTACTATGCATATGTCACAGAAATGGAGCTACAGATTTGTCTTTTTGTGATTGACTTAATCCATTTAGCATAATGTCAGGGTTCTGCTGTGTTTTTGAGACAGCATCTTAGCTCAGGTTAGCTTCAAAGTTTTGTTTCTGCCTCAATCTCACTACTGCTGGGATTACAGGTGTGCACCACCATACTTGGATTGGTCCTATTTCAAAACGTGTGTGTGTGTGTGTGTGTGTGTGTGTGTGTGTGTGTGTGTGTGTGTACACATGCACGGGTGTGTGTATGGGCACCACTTGCATGCCTTTCTGAGGTGATCAAAAAGAGGATGTGATCCTCTGGAACAGAAGTTATAGTCAGTTGTAAGCAATTGTCTGAGTGCTGGGAACCAAACCCATGTCCTCTCAAGAGCAATTAGTGCTCTTAACCACAGAGCCGTCTCTGGAAGAGCTCCTGTTCTACTATTTTTAATGAAATTTTTAGGTTTTCAACATGTCTGTGAATAGTAATAACTTTACTTATTCCCTTCCAGTTTGGATTAGGTGCATCTTAATCTCTTTTCAACCTACCCATGGCTAACACACATCTCCAATTAGACATTCTACAAAATCTTTAGATTCTGAACACTTCCAAGGTATTTTGAAATCTTATTTTATTACCTGCATTCCGTCCTTTCTCGTCCCCTTGTGGTTTTTCTGGATCTTTCTGTGTGTTATAGATACCCACATATGCATTAGTTTATGACCTGAATGCATATGATGGGCAGCAGTTATGAAGGCTATGAAGCTACAAGTCTTTCTAGTTCTCACTCTGCCATGGATTTTCCTATCCTAGTGGTGGGTAAGTGCATAAAAATATATTCAATAGTGAAAAGTATAAAATCCAATGTGAAGCTCCATAGCTTCTGTTCCAAATCACTACTCTGAGTGGAAACTCACTGTGTAGTCTTTGGATGTGGTTAATTTCTGTATGCATGCTTTTTTTTTAAAATTTGTACCTTTTTTTTTTTTTTTTTTTTTTTAGGTTTTTCGAGACAGGGTTTCTCTGTGTAGCTTTGCGCCTTTCCTGGAACTCACTCTGTAGCCCAGGCTGGCCTCGAACTGGCAGAGATCCGCCTGCCTCTGCCTCCCGAGTGCTGGGATTAAAGGCGTGCGCCACCACCGCCCGGCCCATTTTTTAAATAGTAAAAAAATTGTGTATTGTATGTATTGTATGCATGTTGTGAGTGTGTACATGTGTTTAAGTACACTTTGCAGAGTTGGTCCTCTGCTATCTTTCTGTGGGATCCAATTCAGATCACCAGGCCTTTATTCAGTGAGCTATCTTATCAGCCCAGATTCTGAAAATAGTTTAAGTGTCATATTCTATCACCTCTTTCAGGGGGGTTTCTATTACTACCCTCTTTCATTTGACCAGTCTTAGTAATTCATAAAGTTACTGCATTGCAAACCTTGGTGTCTAGTATTTTTACTCTCAAGCACAGAGGCATTAGGTATTGAGGAAGTACATTCTAGCTCAGTGTGGTGGTGCATAGCTATAATCTCAACTCTAGAGAGGTTGGGGCTTGAGAATTGTGAATGGAGCTAGCCTTGTTACTTACTGTGTCTATTTGAAAACAAACAAACAAAAGAACCACTGTGGGACTGGAGAGATGGCTCAGGAGTTAGTTAACAGCACTGGTTGGTCTTGCTGAGGACCTAAATTTGATTCCCAGCATCCACATGGCAGCTTGAAACTGTCTGTAACTCCAGTTCCAGAATCTGGGAATCTGAAGTTCTCTTCAGTTCCATACTGAGCCTGTCTGCAGACAGGGGCGGGGGCTGACACACCCCCAGAGGCCTGCTGCTCTGAGAGAGGACTAACACTGGCTGAAGAGACTTGAGGCTGCAAGCTCCACCCTCGTGTGAGTGCCACGTTTGTCTTTAGCTACACTGCAGAGCCCGACATTCTCCCCAGCTGTGGCCCTGCCAGGCCAGGGGAGTAGTCTATACCTACACCGGTTTCTTCATGAGTTCACCCAAGGGTCCTGAATGAATGGGAGTGTGGGGTTGACAGCTGGGATGCTGCTCAGTCGGCAGGTACTTAGCTAGCATGCCCAAAGCCCTGGGTTCAATTCCCAGCACATCAGCTGGGTATACTAGTGCATGTTGGAAATCCCAGAACTTGGGAAGAGACAGAGGATCTGAAGTTCAAGGTCATTCCTTGCTATGTAGCAGGTTCAAGAACAGCCTAGGCTACAAAAGACCCTGTCCCCATACTTTTTCCTAAAAGAAGATGTGGGCCAAACATGGTGGCACACGTCTTTAATCCCAGCATTCAGGAGACAGTAGATGAATCTCTGTGAGCTCAAGGCCACCCTGGCCTATATAACAAGTTCCAGGCCAGCCGAGGCTACACAGTGAGACCCTGTCTCAACACAACCATCATGCTCCTCCACAACGAGAGGGAGGGAGGGAGGGAGGAAGGGAGGGAGGGAGGGAGGAAGGGAGGGAGAGGGAAATGTGAGTGTGAGAACTGGGCTGGTAGCTTGAATTGTGCAGGAAGAGCCCACTTATTATTCACTATTCACAGTAGTTCCAATCTCCACTTTCCCATAGAGTGTCCATTAAGAATCTTTCTTCTAAGTTTTGAGCTCTCAAAAGTTAGGTATTCAACCTTAGTGTTTTATTTATTTTTCTTTTTTTTTTTTAATTTTTTATTTAAAAGATTTTTTTTTTTCCATTTTACATACCAACCACAGTTCCCCCTCCCTTCCCTCCTAACCTTACTGTTTTAGAAACTGGGTAAGGGGATTTTGCATTTGTTCTTCTAGATCAGGTTGTAGTTTCTTTGGATTTTTTTTTTCAATCCTAAGGAAAAACACTCATGGAAGTTATTATACAGGGAACGGAAAAAAGCATGAGGTCAGTTTAGATCAAAGCTGAAGATATGTTAGCCCTTTTCTTGAGTTGCCATACACCAAAGATGTATGACCAAATGTGAAGTCTAGCATAATGGCTGACATTTGCAATCCAAGGCTGAGGCAGGAGAATTACTATGAATTCTAAGTTTGCCTTGTCTATTTAGTTCCAGGACAGCTGGGCTAAAAAGACCTTGAGGGAAGAGAGATGGGGAGGGACATATAAAGGTCAAAATAAGACAAACTGGAGAATAAAAATTGATATGACATTCCACAAGCTTCCAGTTGTTCCTGCTCCAGTTAGTCATGGTAACTAACTATGACAACACTCCAACTCACCGCCACCTACAGACAGAATCACCAACCTCTTGGCATGGTCTAGAGCACCAAGGAATCCAGACCCAGCAAAAGGACTAAACACCGCAAGAAAAAAAAACAAAAAACAAACAAACAAAAAAAACCCAACAGATCAGGGCAAGGCTTTTCCAAGTCTTATTAGTCTGGGTCCAATCAATGGACAGACACTAAACGGCAACACTTATTTTACTCAATAATGGCTCCAAAGCACAAGAATATTGATGGAAAAGTGAAGCTGTAGTTCTTGGAGACATGAATGTCCTCAATCTTAAGAAGGAGGGAAAGTCATATACTGAGGTTACTATACTGTGTAAAAAGGTGCTGTTAGATTCTTGTGGTGCTTATAAACTTCACCACAGGTATATACATACATAGGAAAACCTAACAGAGTTAAGTACTATACAGGACTTCAGATATCCACTAGGGGCCTTGGGATGTATCCCATACATATAATGGGGACTGTTATAATAATATGTAACTCGGGCTGGAGAGATGGCTCAGAGGTTAAGGGCACCGACTGTTCTTCCAGAGGTCCTGAGTTCAATTCCCAGCACCCACATGGTGGCTCACAACCATCTGTAATGACATGGCACCCTCTCCTGTATACATAATAAATAAATAAAAACAAACAACATTTAAAAATAATATGTAACTCTTCCATATCTATCTTTTAAAGAAAAACAGCACAGAATATATGTTTGCCACAACAAAGAACTATCAATTTGTTACATTTAAAACCTTTATTTTTAATGAAAAGTAGATATTTAGATATAAAACTGGAGTAGCATTTAATTACCCTGCTTTGTCACATTTCACTTCTGTAGAACTTCATTCTTCCTAGAACAGCAACAATCACTTTTTGGGAACTGAATACATATCCTCCCAATTCTAGTTTTAGAGAAAAGTGTTTACCATAAGCAATGCTTAGTACCAGAGTCGACAAGTTGGTTTTATTTAAATTTACACAGGAATCATCACAATATATCCATCACTTCAATTTTCTTCATGCCAATTTTTTTCTTTTCCTTTTGCTGTTAACATAGATTTAACCTGTTGTGCTTAGCTGCTAGAGTATTCTACTGTATGACTGTTACATTTTATTCATCTACTTCATAAGCAACAAACACCTGTGCCCGTTTTTTTTGCTACCATAATTCATGCTGCAATTTACAGACTGACTGGTACATAACTCCCTACATAAGCATATCAGTTTCTTGAGAATAAGTATAAATGCTCAAGAATAACAGCTGAGGATTCTAGAATCTAGAATTTCTGTCCTACTCAAGTCTCAGAACCCATACTCTTAACAAATTTTTTATACAAAGCTTTGCTTTCTGCAAAGACATTGGAATTCCTATGAAATACTTTAATAAATGAGGACATCAGAGGTCTATTATTTTCCCATACAAAAAGTTAATTATCATGAGATTATTTTTTAAGTCATCCATGATTTTCCCATTGATGTGGAATACTGCCAGAATCAATTACCAATCCCCCAGGAATTCATTCATATTTCTAGATTCAATATTCTGTCCTGACCTCAATTTTATACAATTCTACAACAAAGACTTCTGAGTTGGCATGGTGATGTATATAATTGCAGCATTGGGAGGCTGAGTAAATGGATTACCAGAAACTTGAGGCTAACTTGGGCTACAGAGTGAGTTTAAGGTCTCCCTGGGCTATGTACATAGGGAGACCCTGTCCCAACATGCCTGCTTTGAAAAACGATTTTTTACAAATTATCCATATAGCAAAGCAAATATCAAAAATATTTTTGCCTTTTAATGTCAAACATTTATATTGCTCATATTATCTTAATACATTTGATAAGCTTTCTAAGACTATGCTAATTGGAATCATTGGACTCTAAGTTCATTGAGAAGGGTCCTAAAATTACAATACTAATAACTTTCATTGTGAGAGTCTAGGAAGTATATAATACTGTGATACATCTTACTAAATATTGTATTTAAGTTTTGAGTTACTACAGAAGGTTTTCCTAGCTTTGTATAACTTTAATGTAAGACAAATCTTTTGATATATTACTAATCATAGATTTTCCTCAAGCATTCCTAAATCTAAGGCATTTATAGAGTTTTAATGAATATGAATTCTCTGGTGTCTAATGTGATGGGACTTCTGGCTGAAAGCTTTCCCACATTCACTGCATTGATAGGGTTTTTCACCAGTGTGGATTCTCATGTGTAACGCAAGAGTTGAGAACTGAGAAAAAGCCTTCCCACATTCATTACAACCATAGGGCTTCTCACCAGTATGGCTTCTCATATGCACTGTAAGAGATGAACTCTGACAGAAGGCTTTCCCACAGATTTTACATTCATAGGGTTTATCACCTGTATGAATTCTCACATGTACAATAAGTGATGTAATCCGAGAAAAGGCTTTCCCGCATTTATTACATTCATAGGGTTTTTCACCCGTATGTATATTGTGATGTTTGATGAGGTACTGCTTCTGCCTGAAAATTGTTCCACATTCATTACATTTATAGGGTTTCTCTCCGATATGAATTTTCTCATGCTCAGTGAGATTTGATTTACCACTGAAGGCTTTTCCACATTCCTTACATGTATAAGGCTTCTCTCCAGTATGACTTCTCTGATGTCTAATGAGGCTTGATTTCTGAATGAAGGCTTTCCCACACCCTTTACATTCATAAGGTTTCTCTCCAGTATGGATTCTCTGGTGTATAATGAGGTTTTCTTTCTGACTAAAAGCCTTACCACACTCATTACATTTAAAAGGTTTCTTCCCACTGTGGATGTTCTGATGTTTAATGAGGTATTGCTTCTGGCTGAAGGCTCTTCCACACTGATTACATTCAAATGGTTTCTCTCCAGTATGAATTTTCTCATGTTCTTTGAGATATGATTTGCCATTAAAAGCTTTCCCACATTCCTTACATGCAAATGGTTTATTCCCGGTATTTCTCTGATTTCTAATGAGGCTTGTCATCTGAAGAGAAGCTTTCTCACAGTCATAGGGTTTCTCTTCAGCATGTTGTTTCTGATGAGAAAGGAAGTTTCCTCTCTGGCTGAAGGCTTTTCCACATTTACTACATTTGAATGATTTCCTCCGTGAATGACTTCTCAAATGTAGAGTAAGTGATGAGACTCGAGAAAACGCTTTGCCACATTCTGTACATTCGTGTGATTTCTCTCCACTGTGCATTTTCTTATGTTCTACAAAGATTTGTTTTAGGCTGAAGGTTTTTCTACATTCATTACATTCATAAAGTTTCTCTCTGGGATCAAGTTCATCATGTAGAAGATCTGACTCAGGATGAAGACTTTCCAACATTCTGTTATGTACAAGAGTTTTCTCCTAGCATCTACTGAGATAGGATTAAAGCTTTTCCACATTCACTAAATACATACAATTTCTTTTCAATATTAATTCACAAGTATCTAATGAAGTTGAATATATAATGAGAGATTTTTTTATGTGAGTACCCTCAGAGGTGGTTACAAGAAGGGACTGAAATACAGCACTGCTTTATATTAATGATTCTTTCTTGCAGTTTCGCTCATTTTCATAAGTAAGTTATGAATGTGGGTAATTACAGTTCAAATTTTCTTCAACTGAGTCCCATATACAATGTCTGTGCCCAGAAGGAGTACTTTGCCTCCTAGGTTTTCCAATTTGTTTTAGACTATTTCTATAGAGAAAGATGAGACTTAACTCATGAGTCTTTCATCCTGTGTCCTCTTTGTGTATAAACTCCAGAGGCTGCTTCTAAAAGAGAACAACAAAAAGTTACTAAAAGAATTAACAAGGATAAAAATGTTGGTGTCTAGAAATGTAGTAAGTATCCAATAAATTACCTTCTCATTAACATCCTTAACAACCTACGAATTCTCCCACTTTTACTAACAAAACTGCAGAAATGTGCAATTAAAGAAAGACTATTTAAGTCACACACGGTAGGTCACATTTATAATCCCAGAACTTGGGATACTGAGGCAGAGGACTGTTATGAGTTTAAGGTCAGCATGGGTTAGTGAATTCCAGGGCAGCCTGGCTACAGATGAGACTCTGCCTTAAAAACAAGTCCAACTGCCAGGCAGTGATGGTACATGCCATTAATCCCAGCACTTGGCAGGCAGAGGCAGGCAGATCTCTAAATTTGAGGCCAGCCTGGTCTACAGAGTGAGTTCTAGTATGAACTAGCGCTACACAGAGTAACCCTGTCTCATAAAAAAAGAAAAAGAAAAAGGACAAACTGTGGTGATATTTTATCTGTGTCTCCCAATAAAATTTATCTGAGGCCCAGAGGAAAAAGTCAGCCACTATATTAGACATAGAAGCCAGGCAATGGTAGCACATGCCTTTAATCACTCAGAAGGCAGGGATCTGTCTGGATCTCTGTGAGTTCAAGGCCACACTGGGAACAGAGCCAAGCAAGATGGCACAGGCCTTAAATTCCAACACTAGTTAACTATGGAGGTCTGGAGGTCTGTACAGACAGATAGGAAGTGACAGAGGTTGGCAGGAAGGGGAAGTGCTGTAGCTGGACAGGAGAGCAGATGAGATAACAGAACAGAAATGCATATAGGCATGGGCATACAGGAAGTAGCTTTCTGGAAGCTGAGGTATCAATGAAGTGAGTGAGGTTAGCTTGTGGCTTTTCCTATTCTTCTGATCTCTCAGGTTTTCACCTCTATATCTGGCTCAATGTTTTTTATTTCAATAGGACCATTTAGCAATTTGTCACCAATTGGCGCTCCAAAAATTGTGGCAAGAATTCACTAAGAAGCCGCTTGTGGCCTTACAGCCCTCCAACCCCACCCCCAGCTCAGGCCCAAGCTGCACAGCTCAGGCCAGAACTGCATGCAACCGAATCTCCACTCCACGTGAGCCAGAGTGGTGGGTGGTGGGCTCTCTCTGGATCCCCATCTCGGACTGCTACCACACTAGGTAGCTGCTTTGATATTCCCTCGGACTTCTACTGTTCTACACAGTTGACAGACTGGGTAAGTCAATTAAGATATCTTAAAGGGAGAAATTAGTTAAAAGGTAAATTTTTTCCACAATAAAAGATGAGAAATATTGGCCAGGTGGTGGGGGTGCACGCCTTTAATCTCAGCACTCGGGAGGCAGAGCCAGGCGGATCTCTGAGTTCGAGGCCAGCCTGGGATACAGAGTGAGTTCCAGGACAGGCACCAAAACTACACAGAGAAACCCTGTCTCAAAAAAAAAAAAAAAAAAAAAAGAAAGAAAGAAATATTTTTACAATGGAAGGAATTTGGTCTTTTTGATAACACATTAGGCAGTCTGAAAATGGAACAATTAAATGAGAGGATAATTAATGTTGATGGGATGTACATAACATCAATTATGAATATTATTTGTTTGATCATTTTTACTTTAACATTAAAAAGGTTGGTTAATTTGAGTGCCAAGATAAAAGCTTTAGAAAAATCTGTTAAAATGAATTATAGAGAAATTCAGACCCAGACAGTAGAACTTAAAAATGAACCTATTTCAGGATTGAATTACACAGTGATAGAGAAACAGTCTCAAGTTACCAGACAGCAAACATTAATCTACCCGGTAACTTTACAGGAACTGTCAAATGCTCAAGGGTGTGTAGATCTAACTGGACTCCAGTGGAAATGTTAGATTTGAGGAGATTTAAAGAAGCTATAGTATCATATGGCATGCATTATCCATTTGTAAAGCAGATGTTAAACTCATGGTCAACTTGTAATAGAATTATCAGTTAGGACTGGAAAGAATTAGTTACAGGGGTGATAGAGGCCGGTCCACAGTTACAGTGGAGAGCCTGGTAGAAAGAGCAGGTTAAAACTATAGAACAAAGATGTAGGGCCAGAGGTGTGGAAATTTCCCAGGATCAGCTTCTTCTTCTTTCTTTTTTTTTTTTTTTTTTTTGGTTTTTCGAGACAGGGTTTCTCTGTGTAGCTTTGCGCCTTTCCTGGGACTCACTTGGTAGCCCAGGCTGGCCTCGAACTGGCAGAGATCCGCCTGGCTCTGCCTCCCGAGTGCTGGGATTAAAGGCGTGCGCCACCACTGCCCGGCCCCCAGGATCAGCTTCTTAGAGAAGGTGATTACACTGATATACAAAGACAATGTTTATATGATAACCAAAACCCTAATTCTATGCCGCACGGCAGCCATGAATGCGAGGGACAGAATTGAGGAAGCAGGGAAGAAAACTGTATCATTTACAAAAGTTATACAGGATCCCAAAGAATCCTTCATGGATGTCTTACAAAGGCTATCTTCAGCAGTAAATAGAATGATACCAAATTCAGAAGCTAGAGAGATAATAATTGAATCTTTGGCTTTTGAGAACACGAATGCAGCATGCAAGAGGGTAATCAGGTTGTTAAAGTCCAGATCAGGACCCTTGGAGGACTGATCAGGGACACAATTAATATTGGTTCTCATGACAATGATGATATGTGGATAGGAGGGGTGATATCAGGAGCTTTGAAGAAAAAAAATATTGTCAGATGCTTTAATTGCGGTAAACAAGGTCACCTAAAAAGGTAATGCAAAGAGGGCATTCCTAGAAACAATGTTTCTTCAAGGTACAATGACAACAAAATGCCCCTCCCTTCTGGAGTATGCAGAAGATGTGGTAAGGGTAAACATTGAATCAATGAATGTAGATCAACAAGGGACAAACAAGGTAATCCTTTGCCTCTATCCTCAGGAAACTCCCAGAGGGGCCTCACATAGGCCCCCACAGTAAATTCAGTTCAAAACTTTCCTGCCATTGTAGAAGAAACCCCTTCTGAGAGCAATTAAATAACCAAATGCCTACTGGAATAAACCAGGCAGCTCGGGTGAGAGAACAGCTGTAGCAGAGAGAACAGGAAATTCAGGAGAAATCATAAAGTGTTTTTTTTTTTTTTTTGGCAAACTTCTATAAATGAACAAAGACCAATTAAAAATATGAATAAATGACAATCTCTTGGAAGGTCTTGTAGACACAGGTGCAGACTTCACAATAATTGCACCAGAATTTTGGCATCCAAACTGCCTCTTCAGGAGGTAAATGTTCAGCTGTTAGGGATTGGAACATTATCCCAAGTGAAACACAGTGCAAGATGGCTCGAATACATAGCGCCAAAATGACAGAGAGGAAAATTAAAGGCATATGTGGCTAATATAGCTATGAATTTATGGGGCCATGATCTATTACAACAATGGAATACCCAGATTAACATTCCTCCAACTTCAGAAACAAACAATAAGCTAACACATGTTTCTGAGAGAAATATTAGGAGGTATTATTATAAAGAACAGTCACCAGCCATCCAGATTGTACAAAAGCAGGGCACAACAACTGATGATCTTCCAAAGACACCAACAGCTCTACCTTTAAAATGGTTAACAGACAAGCCTGTATGGGTTCAGCAATGGCCTTTAACAACAGAGAAACTCCAGGCTTTAGAAGAGCTGGTACAAGAGCAGTTAAATGCTCAGCATATTGAAGAATCAACCAATCCTTGGAATTCTCCTGTATTTGTTATTAAAAAGAAATCTGGTAAATGAAGAATGGTAACAGACTTTAGAGCACTTAACAAGGTAATTCAGCCAATGGGCTCTCTACAATCAGGAATTCCTTTGCCTACTTTGTTACCTAAAGGATGGCCTCTTATAGTTATTTATTTAAAAGACTGTTTCTTCTCAATACCCTTACAAGAAAAAGACAGAGAAACATTTGCCTTCACGGTGCCTACTTATAAAAATTCCCAGCCAGTTAAGAGATATCAATGGAGGGTTCTCCTACCCCTGTGTTAAATAGTCCAACCCTGTTGCAATATTTTGTACAACAGCCATTGGAAGTGATATGTAAAAAATTTCCTAAATCTATAATTTATCATTATATGGATGATATTTTACTAGCTGACTCAAATGCAGATACTTTAGAAAGAATGTTTAAAGAAGTAAAGAAAATTTTGCATTGTTGGGGATTACAAATTATTCCTGAAAAGATACAAAGAGGAGATTCTATTAAATATTAGGTTATAAAACAGGTCTACAAAAAAATTAGGCCCCAAAAAGTACAAATTAGGAGAGATTGATTACAGACTCTTAATGACTTTCAAGATTATTCAGAGACATTTCCCATCTACGAACTGTTGTTGGGGTAAAAAGTGATGAACTGAGTAGTCTGTTCAAAACCTTAGAAGGTGACAAGGACTTAAATAGTCCAAGAGAATTATGAGCTGAAGTTGAGAGAGAATTGGCCTTGGTGGAAAAGAAAGTACAGGTGGGATATGTGGATGGATTATATGGATGCAAAGCTGGATTGAATTTTGGTTATTTTCCCCTCTAGGTATTCTCCTACAGGAATTTTAATGCAGAGGGAAGATATTATACTGGAATGGATATTTGTACCAAATAAACAGTAAAAAATTAAAAACATGTGAAAAAGATCTCTGACTTGATTTTAAAAGGAAAATTAAGACTTCATCAATTAGCAGGAATAGACCCAGCAGAAATTGTAGTACTTTTAACTAATGATGACACTGACAAATTATGGGCAGAAAGCGAATCTTGGCAAAGAGCTTGCAGTAATTTTTTGGGAAAGATTAACAGCAAATATCCCAAAAGTAATAGAATTCAACTTATAGAGATGACTGGATTCTGCCTTGAATTTTTCAGGAAACACCCATATCTGGAGCCTATACATTTTATACTGATTCAAACAAACAAGGAAAGGCAGGTTACAAATCAGAAAATTTAAGTAAAGTGGTTCAAAGTCCTTATAATTCAGTTCAAAAATCAGAATTGTATGCTATTCTGTTGGTATTAATGGATTTTTCAGAACCTCTCAACATAGTAACTGACTCTCAGTATGCTGAAAGAGTAGTATTTACATATTGAGACTGCAGAATTTATCCCTGATGCTTCAGAATTAACTTCACTATTCATTCAATTACAAGATACAATCAGGAAAAGGAGTCATCCTTTATAACCCACATCCGATCCTACTGGTCTGCCAGGCCCTCTAGCACAAGGCAATGATGAGATTGATAAATTATTGATAGGAAATGTGCTGGAGGCCTCAGAATTTCATAAAAAACATCATGTCAATAGTAAAGGTTTAAAAAAGGATTTTTCCATAACCTGGCAACAAGCCAAAGAAATAGTAAAGAAATGTCCTACTTGTTCCTTCTACAATCAAACGCCATTACCAGGAAGATGTAACCCAAAGGGTACTCAGAGGAATGAAATCTGGCAGATGGATGTGTTTCACTTTGCAGGATTTGGAAAATTGAAATATGTACACTACACTACTGATACTTATTCAGGATTTCAATGGGCAACTGCTTTGAGTTCTGAAAAGGCTGATTCTGTAATCATGCATTTGCTAGAAGTTATGGCCATCATGGGTATACCTGCACAAATTAAAACTGACAATTGTTGTGGGATGTTCTCTATGCTGTGAATGTGTTGCTCTGATTGGTTAATAAAAAAAGTGTTGACTGGCCAGTAGCCAGGCAGGAAGTATAGGTGGGACAAGCAGAGAAGAGAAATCTGGGAACAGGAAGGCTGAGTCAGGAGTCACCAGCCAAACACAGAGGAAGCAAGATGTAAAAGTACCAGTAAGCCACAAGCCATGTGGCAACTTATAGATTAATAGAAATGGGTTAATTTAAGATGTAAGGGCCAGTCAATAGTTAGCCTGAGCTAATGGCTGAACAATTTTAATTAATATGAACTTCTGAGTGATTATTTTATAAATGGGCTGCAGAACTGCGGGGGCCCAAGCAGGACTGGAGGAAACTCCAGCTACAGACAATGCTTCAGCATATGTCTCTGGTAAAAAGAAACAGTTTTTTGCTTATTACAATATAAAGTATATTACAGGTATATCACATAATCCTACAGGCCAAGCAGTTATTGAAAGATCAAATCAAACTCTAAAGGATATGCTAAATAAACAGAAAGGGGTAACAAAACCCTCCATTAATAGATTAAATAATGGTATATTAACTTTGAATTTTCTCAATGTTAATGAGAAAGGAACAGCAGCTGTGGAGAGACACTGGATAGTAGAAAAAAAACTACAGAATTAAATCAGCCTATATACTTTAAAGATGTGCTGAACTCAGAATGGAAACCAGGATATGTGTTACGTTGAGGACGAGGTTTTGTTTTTGTTTCTACAGGAGAAGAAAAGCTACAGATACCATAAAAATTGATAAAGGTTCAATTTGAACAAGAGACCTCTTAAATTAGAAGAGGTGAGAGTTCATCAACCAGCATGACCATCCAATTTAGATTAAATTATAGCACTAACAAATGCTTTTCATTTAATCAGTATAACTTGCCAAAAGGGAACCTCCCCAAAGTTAGGCTTGGGGACAGGTTTTTGTTTTTATCTTTCAGGAGAATGAAGGCTAAGGAATCAGAAGAACACTGGACAAATGAGACATCTGAAGAAAAAAAAACAAATCATCTAGAATAAATGTCCCAAGAAAAAGAGTAAATTGGCCTATTGGTATAATACATATAAATTTTCATAAGTCTTCCTAAATGTTTGTTTCTGCTCTTCTCTACAGACATATAACACAAATGGTTTTTATGTGGTCCCAGTTCAATTAAAAATGAAAGCAGCTTTGGAGTTGGAGAATGGCTCTCTCCTTCCCTAAACATTAGCATGCTTGTTAAAAGAAAATGCAAAATCTATGAATCATGTCAGAAGAGCCATCTGATATAGGACAGAAGAAAACCAAAATTAAGGGACTATTCTATTGCCACTAATCTCAATTCTTTGGTTCTATTTTGATTCTTTATACTTTTCTTAAGGTATGAATTTTATATCAAAATTTGTAAGATTTATATATATATTTAAGCTTTTGTTATGATATTAATAGTCATACAGAATACTAATTCTAGAAAAAAGGCTTCATTTAGCTGCCTATACTTTTTTTTTTTAATGTATGGGCTCTCTTCCTGGACTCTTGGGCATCTGTTCTTTTTTTTTTTAAGATTTATTTATTTATTATGTATACAGTGTTCTGTCTGCACATATCCCTGCAGGCCAGAAGAGGGCACCAGATCTCATTACAGATGGTTGTGAGCCACCATGTGGTTGCTGGGAATTGAACTCAGGACCTTTGGAAGAACAGCCAGTGCTCTTAACCTCTGAGTCATCTCTCCAACCCTACACGTTTTTTGTGTTGGAGTCTCTATCAGTTTTCTGCAGGGAATCATAACCACACCTAACAGCAAATTTGAAGTCTCCAAAAACATGATGGGGCCCCACAACGATGATTCCATATGGACGATAATAATACCACTAAGCTGACAAACATTACCCAAAGATCAGTTTGGACTACAAACTGTTCAGGACAATTTCGAGATGGCTAGCTGATATGATCCAGCCTCACAGACTGTTCAAGCCAGGACTTGATATAAGCCCTGCACTTTTGCATTATGCAGAGACTGGACAACAAATGATACAGCTACCTCTCCCAGGACTTGACAATTAACCCAAGGTTTTCCTTTTCAGAATCCCCTAAGATGCCTTTGCCCACAAATAGCAGGAAGTAATTTTAAGAACATGACGCCCACATTCCCAAGATGTGGGGTGGGTGGTTTTTGGTCTTTCAATGGGTTTTGGATACTTGTCATTGTTTAGGATGGTTTGTTACAAGTTGTTATTGTTAATGGTCAGGAAAAGGGCTAAACAAAGGAGATTAGATTTAAGGTTCTTATTTGAAAAAAGAAAGAAAGAAGAGGATATAAATAAGAGGTAGATTATTGAATCTACTCCAAAAAAAGATATAGAAATGATAAAATAAAGGGTAGATTATTGAATCTACTCTGAAAAGAAAAAAGAGAGGATATAGATATGATATAGATAAAAAGGTAGATTACTCAATCTACTTTTAACAGGCAACTTCTAGTTTTAAATATTTTATATTGGATTGGATTTTTGTATACTGTATGCAAATTATGTATATTGATACCAATTTGAGATTGATTTTGTTAGAATATATTGTACATATATTTCTAATCTTCAAAATATTGTATCTATACAGTTCATTTAACAATGTAATGCAATTTGCTAATCCTTGAAAGTTATTATTACCAACTATTAGGATATAAAGAAATGAAAGTTAGTAGTTAGTCATTACAATTAGGTATATTTAGGTATATTTTCAAGGTCAAGCAGAGATATATTTTAGATAGGTCATCTCAAACCCTTCAGAGATCTACAGAATATGGCATTTAAGATGTGTTAATAACATAGATTTTTTTTTTTAATGACTATGAGACATGTCTGCTCCTGGCAGAGCTTACCCTATTGACAGGGGTATGGGTGAACTGCCCCAAGAACATAAGTATGGGAGATCTGGCCCCAACTCTTATTTGCCATATGGTGGTGTGGGAGGGAGAGCTGGCCCTGCCACTGACCAGCTGCAGCACTCAGTAGAGTGGTCCCCGCACCTGGGCAACACAGTAGAGCTGGCCCTGAAGGTGTAAGTGTGGGAGAGCCGACCCTAAGGGCGTGAAAGCAGAACTAGCCCTGCCCTTTGCTCACTGCTGCAAGGGTTAAACTAGCTGGGGCTATGCTGGAGCGCTGGCCCTGGTGGTGAGGACAGGAGAGCTAATGGGCTGACCAACCCTGCAACTACCCAGGCCCAGTATCAGGGTTATGAGTTGGCCCACTCCAACATCCACCCCATCTATGATCTGCTGGAGTACTTGAAGGGGTCAGTCCTGCAGACCCAAGCTGCAGGATCTCCACGACACAGGGCAACAACAGGATATCCAAGAGGAGTCCCCGTGAGGGCCCAGCATTGATAGTGTAGCAGAAACCAGAGGCCTCGAACCAGACCAATGACTCTTTGCAACGAACACTTGCAAGTAAAGATATATAGATAAAAGGGTTTACTGTGTGACTCACTGCGTCACACTATAGCTTCCATGATGAAGCTTATTCTATTGGGGGGTGGGCTGCAAGGGCAGAGGCCAGATATGAAGGGACAGGGAAATAAGCAGGATCGAGATGCATGATGTGAAAGACACAAAGAATTAATAAAAAAGAAAATTTAAAAAAAACCCTTAGAAAAAGCCCCCTTAAAAATAGACCTCTGTGCCAGGCAGTGGTGGCGCACGCCTTTAATCCCAGCACTCGGGAGGCAGAGGCAGGCGGATCTCTGTGAGTTCGAGGCCAGCCTGGGCTACAGAGTAAGTTCCAGGACAGCCAGGGCTACACTGAGAAACCCTGTCTTGAAAAACCAAGTGGGCGGGCAGGGTGGGGGTGGGGGTGGGGGGTAGGGAGAGTATGACAAGCCAGGTAGTGGTGGTGCACGCCTTTATCCCAGCATGTGGAAGGCAGAAGCCAGCAGATCTCTGAGTTCCAGGCCAGACTAGTTTACAGAGCTAGTTCCAGGATAGTAAGTCTACACAAAAAAAACAGAGCTACACAGAGAAACCCTGTCTCAAAATAAATAAATAAATGGTGGCACATACCTTTCATCCTAGCACTCAGGAAACAGAGGTCAACCTAGTCAACAAAGTGAGTTCCAGGACAGCCAGGGCTATGCAGAAAGACCCTGTTTAAAAAAAAAAAAAAAAAAAAAAAAAAAAAGACAAAATACTTTTTAAAAGAGCCTAGTCCTTTGACCAATTTGAGTGCTAAATAGCTTCTTGACCTCTCTGCCAAACGTGGGACAATTAACTACCTTCCTAATTCTACCCCATCTGTATTTGTGGAAAGTACCTTCTAAGGGCTATTCCGTAAATTTAAGGGCTTCTCAAAAATAGCTCAACTGAAGGTTCTCCAAGAACTAAGTTAATGCCTACTAGTGTGAAGGCACCCAATAACAAGTTTGTGGAAGTCTTCGTTACAAAATAAAGATTTTTCAAAGGAACGTTGGTTTCGTTTTCTACTGACTTGCTTTAATAATAATAATAATAGGCCGGGCGGTGGTGGCGCACGCCTTTAATCCCAGCACTCGGGAGGCAGAGCCAGGCGGATCTCTGTGAGTTCGAGGCCAGCCTGGGCTACCAAGTGAGTCCCAGGAAAGGCGCAAAGCTGCACAGAGAAACCCTGTCTCGAAAAACCAAAAAAAAAAAAAAAAATAAAAAAAAAAAAAAAAAAAAATAATAATAATAATAATAAAATCACTTTTAAAACTACTCACTCAATATTTATCCTTTTCCCTTTCCTGATTACCAAAAAACGCGTTATTTATTTTTAAAATGCGACAAGTATTAGAGAACTATTCGTTTAGTCTCGCAAACTTGAAACCAGTTTCTTGCTAACTGGAAACCAACCAAAACACACCCTCACACGTAAGCTCACCCCACCCGCAAACCCACCGGGGTTTCTGGCTCTCCCTGCCCCCATCCACACAAGTTCTCAGCTCCGCTGTCACAGTAGACGATTCTCACCCTTCGGGCATCCTCGCCCGTGCAGGAGCAGCAAACCCTCCCCTACAGCTTCTTTGGCTCGACTGGGCCCAGGAAAACCCCGGTCTGTCCTACAGACCCCCAAATCAAACTCACCAGCAGACAAAGGCGACGATGGAGAGCCACAGAGTCTGCGCCTGCGCACTCCTGCTAGCACGCCCGGAGGTCTGCCCACTGGGGCTCTGAACTAGCGAATCTTTTTCCATTCGACTCTTTTTTTTTTTTTTTGACTGTGGACTACATTTCCCAGAAGTCTTGGTGGTTCTAGTCAATCCCGAACTTTTTCCAGATGGTCTCTCTGGTGGTGGCAGGGGAGTAAGAGGCCGGGATTCAGATGCTACTGCTTTTACTCTATTACTAAAAAGGACGGTAGTGTGCCAAGGTGTATAATAAGCGCAGTTCAAACTCATTGAATAGGCTTTACGGGCCTCCAGGGCGAGATTCCGAGTAACGCCTAACACTCGGTTTTACGGAGGTGGGGGGGGGGGGGGGAATCTTGGTGACGTGGTGCAGTGAAGAACTACATTTCCCAGAAGACATCGCGCGTTCCATAGCCTCTGGCTTGTACCAGACACTGGTTTTTTTGGTTTTTTTTTTTTTTTTTTTTGGTTTTTCGAGACAGGGTTTCTCTGTGTAGCTTTGCGCCTTTCCTGGGACTCACTTGGTAGCCCAGGCTGGCCTCGAACTCACGGAGATCCGCCTGGCTCTGCCTCCCGAGTGCTGGGATTAAAGGCGTGCGCCACCACCGCCCGGCCAGACACTGGTTTTAAGTGTAGACTGCTCACTACAGTTTCACAAACCGACGCCAGGCGAGAATTGAGACCGCAAATTGGATTCAGGCGAAACAGGCAGGAGAATGAGCTGTTGTGAAATTGTGATTTTTGTAACCGTATGTCCTATGGTTGTGAATGGGGATTATGACTGTGTGTAACAATGTAAAAAGCAGTATGCAGGTGGTGTGCTGTGGAATCCTGTTGGGCATTGGGTCTCCAAACGAGGATAAACGGCTAACTGAGGTACCTGTTACCATGTCAAAGCAGATGATGTCCACCAGTCTTTCAGCATCCCCAGGACCTGGTGTTAAACAGCTCTGAGGGGAGAGATATTTTGACAGTCCCCAGGCAAGGAATACCACAAAATCACACCATACAACAAACCTCACTTGAGATTTACTGGGAAAACACAAAAGAGTGGCTACCTGTGCTCCGGGGAGAAACAGCAAAGAACTGAGCAGAAGACAGGCTTTATATAGAGTTTCATCGAGTGGGTGGGCAGAGCTTTCCAGGGTGGCCTGGGATTGTGAGCTTTTTGGCCTAATCTTGGGGCAAATTCAGGGACTGGTGGGATTCTGTTTCTTGCTCTGGTCTTGCGTGTGAGATCAAGTCAGGGTCAAAGTATTCTTTCCTTGGCTGTGGTCTCGGAGTCAAGTCAGGGTCAGGTGTTTTTCCCTGGCTATTTTGCCCTATGTTTACTCTGGACTCTTCCAGATGTCTCTGCCTGTGCTCTCCCTTATATCTATAATTAAAAACCTCAACCTCTTAGGAGCAGTTATGTCTATTTACTTACTTACTTACCTACTTATTTATTTATTTATTTATTTATTTAATCTGGGCAAAAGCCATGCCAGTGACATAATGAGCTCCCTTCCAAGGGATTTGACTCTCCTAAGTTATGTAGGGAAATTGCTGGTCAGGCTATACCATAGGTTTAGTCAGAGTCTTTGGTCTCAAAAGCAGTCTCTTTGTCTCTGTCTCCTTCTCTCCGCACGTGTGTGTGTGTGTGTGTGTGTGTGTGTGTGTGTATTACACTCTAGTGCATGCCACCTTGCTTTTCAAGTTATATATATGAGTGTTTACATTTGTGTCGTACATACACTATATCTGGTGCCCATAGATGCCAGAAGAGGGTATCAGGTCTCTTGAAACTAGAGTTGTGAGCTGCCGCTGTGTGGGTACTCGGAATTGAACCCGGTTCACTGCAAGAGCAGCCAGTGTTCTTGACCACGAAGCCGTTTCTGGGACAGGTTCTCTCCTACCTGAAGAGCACCAATTAGGCTGGGCTAGCTGGCCAGTGAGCTCCAGGGACCTCCTGTCTCCATCTCTACCGTGTGCCGCTATGTCCAGCGCTCGCTCGCTCTCTCTCTGTGTGTGTGTGTGTGTGTGTGTGTGTGTGTGTGCTGGGCATCTGAAGTATGCTTCCACGGTAAACACTTTGCCAACTGAGCTGCTCCAGCTCTCTTCTCCAGTGGTTTTGAAATGAGCTCATGTAGCCAAACTCCCTCAAACTGGCCTCAAACACTCATGTAACCTTGAACTGCTGATCCTCCTGCCTCCACCTTATAAGTTTTGGATTATAGCTGTATTTTACTTTTAAATTTTCACCAGCATGGTGTGGATCTCTTTGAATTCCTCTCATTATCCTTACTGGAATTATTTGCCCATCAAATTTGGGGAGTTTTTAAGCATTGTTTCTTGAAGTATGCCTCTCTTTTATCCAGGATCCCAACGTTTATATTGTTTCACTTTTGTGTGTGTCACAGGTTACGTCATGAATTTAGGGACTCAAACACAGCCAGAGACTATCCATACATCTCTAACATACATATCTTTTTTTTTAAAGATTTATTTATTATGTATACAGTGTTCTGCCTGCAGGCCAGAAGAGGGCACCAGATCTCATTACAGATGGTTGTGAGCCACCATGTGGTTGCTGGGAATTGAACCCAGGACCTTTGGAGGAACAGCCAGTGCTCTTAACCACTGAGCCATCTCTCCAGCCCTAACATACATATCTTAATATGTGATTCACCATTAAACAGAAAGCCAATTGTTTTATTGAAAATACTTAATATGATGGGCCAGAACAGCAATAAATGGGTTAAATCCAGAAAATTATCTTGAATGTGGGGAGAAAGCTATGTAAAATTCAGAAAGGAGCCTGGTGGTGGTAGTGCACGTTTTTAATCCCAGCACTCGGGAGGCAGAGGCAGGTGGATCTTTGTGAGTTCGAGGCCAGCCTGGTCTACAGAGCGAGATCCAGGAAAGGCGCAAAGCTACACAGAGAAACCCTGTCTCAAAAAAAAAAAAAAATTCAGAAAGGAATAAAAACAGACATAAAGTAGAAACAAATGGTTATTTTTAAAAAAAATTTTTAGCATTAAACTAATAGAAACAAGGACAATACTAAACACAAACAGCAACAAATACATTCATCATTCTAGAATAACACTCTGTGAGATACTATTTACTTATAACAAAATTCAAAAGAAGATGATGTAATGTGACTGAATGCAGATGGAATTACAAATAATGAAAACATAGTAAGACTACATAGTATCCACTTCAAAAATTAAGCACCAAATTGGTCTTACTGTTGCATTGGTTACTACAGTAAGGCTCATGCATTATAGCCACTCCCAAGATGTTCCAGATGTTCATTCCTGCAGCTTCAGCACCAAGAAGGGACTTTGAGATTTTCAGGGACCATAGCAAGCTGCCCAACTGATTCCACACTAAGGACCTGATGAGTCAGAAAGCAGTGTTCCATAAAGCTTGGCTGGTGGAAGCAGTGTTTAATAAGAACAGAAAGCACATCCATGTTGAGTGTGTGAGCACCTGCTTCACATGAATGGGTGGGATCTTGGAGGCAAAGCTGAGATCTTGATAGTCAGGCAGCCTTACATCCAACAGGATATGCCCAAGATGATTGTGAGCGTGGCTGACCATTTCCACAAGCACTTCATGAGAAACTCAGAGAAAGCCCAGACCAGGATCTCCCACTGAGTTCTGTGAGGCCACCACTCAGCAGGTTCTATAGAGATCCACATCAAGGTGACCATGAGGGTTTTCCAGGCCTGGTCCTAGATGTTAACTGAGAGTGTTCTTGAGACAGGGACCCAGAGTGTGGTGATATTTTATTTGTGCTTTGATAAATAAAGCTTGCCTGGAGATCAGGGAGGGAAAGGCCAGTCATTTTAAGTAAACAAAGTCAGGCAGCACACGCCCTTAATCCAATCACTTATCGGCAGGGTCTCTGTGTGTTCAAGGCCATACTAGGGAACAGAGCCAAGCATGGTGACACACGCCGTTAATCCCAATACCAACCATAGAGACCTGGAGGTCTGTACAGACAGACAGTGAGAAGGAAGTGAGGTAGCTGGGCTAAGATAGCCAATGAGAGGACAGAGCAGCAAGGCATATAAAGATATAGGTAAGACAGGAAGTAGCTCGCATTTGGAAGCTGCCCAGTTGGTGAGGTAAGGTTAGCTGTGGCTTTCCATATTTCCCTGATCTCTCTAAGACTTTAACCTATATTTCTGGCTCCATGGTTTTTTATTTAATAAGACCATTTAGAAATTCGTCTATACCAGAGTTCCTTAACGAAGGTCCTGTTCTTGAAACAGGGACCCAGAGTTCCTCAGTGAAAGTCCATGAGACTAGAACCCAGTACCCTTTGGACATTTTGTAAGTAGAAGTCTCCAGAAAACATTACATAGACCTGGCGGTCCTGGAACTCACTCTGTAGCCCAGGCTGGCCTCAAACTCACAGAGATCTGCCTGCCTCTGCCTCCCTACTGGCATTATAGGGATGCACAACTATGCCCAGCTCAGACGCCATTCTTATTTCTTCCTTAAAAGTTGGGGAAGAAAGGAGTTTTGTGTTCCCCTTGTGTTAAATGTGAGCAAACATGCACTGAAAAGATTCCATTAAAGAATTACATCTCCACCCTCAAAAAAGAAAATTAAGTGCCAACATATTTAATGGCTCTTTTGTTTCTGCTAATATCTCTGTATGTACTTCAGTTTGTGTATTTTCCATAAACTGGGGAAGAAAAACAAGACAGCAAAGGTGTCTATAAATAATCCTGTAGTAGCATGTACACAAGAATAACAGCAAGTAATCAATAGTAACTTAATGATAAGCGGCACTGGTTACCGGCGTTGGTTACCACATGTAAAGGTCACAAGCCATGACAAAACCCAGTATCAGAGCTTTATTGGGGGGGGAACAGAAGAACCAGGCCTGGGGGAGACACAAGTGCAGAGAGCACAGAGAGAGAGAGAGAGAGAGAGAGAGAGAGAGAGAGAGAGAGAGAGAGAGAGAGAGAGAGAGAAGAGAGAGAGAGAGGAGTAGAGGGAACAGAACACAGAGAGGGGAGGGGTCTGTGTCCGGCTTTTTAAGGGTTTCTGTGAACATGTGCAGGTGGGC